AACTGCTCAGACGTGTGTCTTCAGTTTTAAAATGTACTTCCTTTACCAGAACAAATCATATCACGTTTTTCTGAAATATGAAGCAGAGACTTCTTTTCTTCATGACCAAATTGAGGGTATCCTTAGCCATCAGAATTTTATCTGAGGAGAGATTCTCTTATCTGGCAGAAGGGGACATTGAGGCCCACAGGTGGGTAGGGGATGTGTGTAGGACTGCACAGCTAGCTGGTGACAGAACTAGGCAAAAATAATTCATTCAGTTTGGCTTAGCAGTTAGAGCATCGGCCTGTGGACTGAGGGATCACAGGTTTGATTCCTGGTCAAGGGCACATACCTGGGTTGCAAGTTAGTCCCTGGGGCTGTATGGGAGGCAACCAATTGATATGTCTCTCTCAAACTGATGTTTCTCTGTCTCTCCCCCCTCCCTCCCTCCCTTCCACTCTATCTAAAAAAAAAATCAATGAAAAAATATCCTCGGATAAGGATTAGCCAAAAAAACAAAAACAAAAAAGAATTCTTTTTCAAGTGGAAATCCCCAAAACCCCCTACCCCCACCTCTCAAGTGTGTCCGGAGGCCCTAGGCTGTTTGCCTGAGGTCAATAAGCAGGGATCTTCAACCCCTTGTTTAGAGCTGTGGGGCAAGGCCCTGCTTGCTCTGCCCTTATCTCCATAGAAGAGAGTGGTGGGGAGGGGCTGGCATAGAGGGAAGGGTAGAGCCAGGGTCCTCCTGTAGGAGTCTGCCCTGAACTCCCTAGGCTGGAAGGCAGGCTCTGCTGGGGTTGGGGACCTTGGAGACCTTTGAGAAGGGTGACCAGGGCCTTCGACCAGCTGAGAGTGAGAGGGTGCAGTGGAGATAGGCACCAGGCTGTATGTGGAGGGTCCCAGGAGTGCCTGGGACATACCGACTCTGCCTTGTGCCCTGCACTGCCCTGGGAGGGGTGGCCAGGAAAGCTGGCCCCCAAGGAGTCCACAGGCCATCCGAACAACAGCCCCTAACTTAGGCTGCACTGGTGGGAGAGAAGGAATCAGGCTGGGCCCTGGAGAGGAGAAGAAGCGAAGAGTTGAGGGTCGAAGGCCTGAGAAGTGGAGAGGAGGCAGCCTGAGTCCTTGAGAATACAAAATAAGGTTGGGAGCTCTGCTGAGTGTAGAGACAGGAGGGGAAGGGGTCTGTGTTCAGTATTTATTCACTTAGACGCCTTGGGGCAGCAGAAGGCTTCTGCAGGCCTGCCTGTGCACTGATTCATTGTCTTATGTAAGGAAAACAGGGTAGGGGCTTCATAAGTCTTAGAAAGACATTTGAGAAAGGGGAAAATGAGGGGAGATATTCTGTAGATCTGTTCTAAGACAAGATGTGGAGGGTCAGAGAGCTGAACCCCATAGTGTGAGCCTGCCCATATGGGCTCAGATCCTGTTGGATACCCTGTTCCAGATCAGGATCCCTGTCCTCTCTTCAGACCAGGTCTTTACTCCTCAGCAACCATCTGTGTGACTGTCTAGTGCTCTTGATTAAAAACAAAAGGTGAACAGGACACGGTTTCTGCTTCAGCTGGCTTCCAGACCAAGCGGGTGAAGGAGGGAGGTCCATGGTGCCTGGGAGCCTGAGGAGCCAAGAGCAGATCATGCCACAGAATCCTGTCCTGTGCCCTAAGGAGTGGGGAGTGGGATAAGGCAGGTGTCACATGATCATTGGAACACCTGGAAAAAACTGAGGGAAGGACAATAGCTGAGTGTGGCTGGAGGCCAGGTAGTGGCCAGAAGGACTGGGAGGGCAACACACAGGCAGGAGGAGGCCTGTGTTTGATCAAGAACTCAAGAAGGGGCAAACCACTGCACTAGTGGCCTGTGTATGTATATGTTTATGCATGTATGTGAGCATGTATGCGCATGTATGTTTGTGTGTGTGTCTGTGAGTGTGAGAGAATGTATATGTGTGTGTTTGTGTGTGCATATATGTGTGTGCATACATGTTTGTGTGTCCATGTCTCTCTGTGTATATATGTGTGTGTGTATGTGCTCATGTGTGTTTGTGTGTGTGTGTGTGTGAGTGAGAGAGGCAGTATTTATGGGTGTGTGTGCATATGTGTGTGTGTGTGTGTGTGTGTGTGTGTGGCTGTGTGGCCAGTATATGTGAGAGTGAATGTCTATACATGTGTGTGTCTGTGTTGTGAGAGTGTCTATGGGTGTGTGTATCTGTGTGTACACATATGTATGCATGCATTTGTGTATGTCTTTTTGTGTCTATGTGTGTTTCTATGTGTCTGTGTGTAAGAGAGTGTCTTATGGGTGTGTGTCTGTATGTATGCATGTGTCTACATGTATTTATGTGTGTCTGGGTGTCTATGTGTCTGTGTCTGTATGTGAGAGTGTTTACGGGTATATATGTGTCTCTATGTTTTTTATGTACGTGTGTATGCATATTTGTGTGTGTATCTGTGTGTGTGTCCATGTGTCTCTGTGTGTGGTACATATGGATGTAGGAGGAAGCTGGAGGCTGTGGTGCAGGTTCCAACCAGGAGTTCCTTCTGGTCTGGTGGGAGATGCTGAGGGCTGGACTCCTGGGGAAGGGCTAAGTAAGCAGGATGGGCCTTCTAGGGTTTATGGCTGGGTGCATGGCCCACAGCTTCCTGAAAGCAGGGAGAGTCCAGGCCTGCTCTGGCCAGAGCCCAAAAAGGACACAGGGTGCCCAGAGTCTGCACAGGGCTATCAGAAAATGTTGGCAAATCTATGGAAAGAGTCACCAAAAGCAAAAGTACAAGTGTGGCCAGATGGCCAGGGGGAGGCCAGTGCAGAGGGCACTTCCTCTTGGTATCTGAGGAAATGTGCATTTTGGTAATGTGTGTGTGGATGTGAATGAAGCTGGGTGAGTAAGTTTGAGTGTATGCATGCATGGGGGAGTGGCTAGGGCATGCATCCTGGACTGCAAACCTGGAAGCAGCTTGAAACCTCTGCTCGCTCCTCAGGGTGGAGCCCACCTACCCATACCACTCCCAGAACAAAAGGCCCCTAGGCATTAAGGTAGGGTGAGGGGACAGTAGCACCCTCCCCCATTACTCTTCCATAGCCATCAGGGTCTAGGCCTGCATGAGGCCTCTGACCAGGAGAAGCTTGGAGGAACACAACAGGACACTCACCCATTGCCCTATTCAGTCCTGTTTCCACATCTCTCCTGCTCCCTTCTCCCTCCTGCCAACCCAGGACCTGAGGAGAGACAGGAGCCAGAGCCAAGAAAACTGGGGTGCAAGACCCCACATGAGGGCAGCAGAGACACCTAAGGCACACAAGCCATCAGAGCCAAGCCAAGGTTAACCTGGGCCTGCTGGGCTCCAAAGTCCTGAGAGTTTTTGCTAGGTTTTTAAAATTCCTACTAGTTTAAGGTAAACTCCAGGAAGCCATCTGGCTCCCTGCTGTTTGTTTCTCCAGCAGGGCTTGGCAAGCAGCAGGTGCTCCATATGAAGCCTGTGGAATGGTGAGCTGGGTACCCAGGGCAGTCCCACCTCTTTATCCTGAACCCAGAGCAATCTAAATGTTTACACATACCCAGGAGGCAATGCATTCATCCCCTCAGGGAAAGTCCTGCTAGGGGATGCCAGGCTGCCCCCAATATGCCCTGTGCTTCCTTCTGGTCCTGCCAGCCCAGCAGAATACCCCTGCCTTCTGTCTTCTCTCTGTCTGCTTCCTATCTTCTTTCAAGACCAGCTGCTCCAGGCTCTGTCTACCAGGGTCAGGCCAGGCCTACCCTACACTGCAAGGTCCAGGTAGACCTCCCTGGATACCCACATACACCTATGTCTGATCCTGCTGCCTTACCAGCTTCTTCTTCCCAAACTCCAGCCCTCCCCCTTCTGCAAAACCAATGTCACTTCCTCTGACTCAGTTTCCCATGTGTGGAAACAAAAGGTTTCATGCAGGGGCCCAGGCAGCTCCAATACCAGCCCTTAGGTTAACAGAGGCCTGGAGGCCATCCGGGGGCAGACATCCAGCAGCCCTTAGGCATCCCCAGGCCTGAGCATGTGGAGCCAGCAGAGGGTGAGGTGTGCACTGGGAACCTGTGGTCCTTGCAGTGCCTGGAGTCTGGGTGAAGGAGGGGAAAGATGTGCAAGCAGAATAGCAGCATACGTAGCAGCATGTGGGCCAGAGCCACGGTCTGGGTGAGTGGTCAGGCTGCTGAAAGCTCCTACCAGGAAATCTGGGCAGAGGGTTGCTGCACTTCAGGGCTATGAGAGTGGTCTTTTTTCAGTCAGCCTGATTATTTTGAGAAGCATCATGCTTTTTTTCTAATTACTGCTGAATAGAATTCCATTTTATGGAAATGCCACAATTTTTTATGAAGATATAATTGACATATATAATTTTATGAAGATACAATTGACATTGTATTAGTTTCAAGTGTACAACATGATTTGATATGTTATACATTGTGAAATTATCACACAATAATAGTAGTTAACATTCATCACTTCATGTGGTTACTATTTTTTGTGTGTGGTGATAACACAAGAGGTACTCTTTTAGCAACTTTTAGGTATACAATACAGCAGTGTTAACTACAGTCACCACCCAGTATATTATATCCCAGGACTTATTTATCTTACACCAGTTTTTTATCCATTCACCTATTGATAGACATTTGGGAGCTGCCAGTTTGGGGCTGTTACTAATGAAACGGCCCTGACATTTGCTTCCTGATCTTCCTCATCAATGCGGGCTTCCTCAGAGTAAATACCTGGGAGCTGATGGCCAGGTCAGGTAGTATGTGCATGTTTTTTAGAAGCTGCCAAGTCGATTTCCAAGGGGTGCTCCCATTTCCCTCCAGCCAGCAGTATGCAGGATTCTCAGGTCCCTACACTTCCCCACTAGGACAAGTACGGTCCAACATCATTTCTTGGGTTCCTTGGCCCTCGGTGTACTTTCTTTGGTGAAGCTCTCCCTCCTCCTTGGATCCTTTGGGGACATGCATCCCTCTCTCTCCAGCCCTGCCCACCTCACGCCTCTCTCCACAGCCACCCGAGAGTCCGCCTTCGTACATGCCATCGCCTCCGCCGGCGTGGCCTTCGCAGTGACGCGCTCATGCGCTGAGGGCTCCGCTGCCATCTGTGGATGTAGCAGCCATCACCAGGGCTCACCGGGCCAAGGCTGGAAATGGGGTGGCTGCAGCGAGGACATCGAGTTTGGTGGGATGGTGTCTCGGGAGTTTGCGGATGCAAGAGAGAATAGGCCTGACGCCCGCTCTGCGATGAACCGCCACAACAATGAGGCGGGGCGCCAGGTAAGCACATGACCCTATGTGTCCTAGGGATGCATCTGGGAGCCCTCTGACCACTGCCTTGTGCATTCTTGGGTGTTGGGGGGCCTCTGACCATGGTCTTGTGCATTCTGGGGTACTGGGAGCCCTCTGACCACTTCCCTGTGCATCCTGGGGTGCTGGGGAACATCTGGCCACAGCCCTTTGTGCACTGGAGATGTTCCTGGACTCTCTGAGCATACCCCTGGTTCCTTGAGGAGTATGATCTGGTGGGGGCTGTGGGAGGGCTGTCTGTGGTGGCCAGGCTGGAGGGTCTACTCACCTCCTGCCCAGAGTTGTCTGAAACACAACACTACACAGTTGCTCCACAAGTGTCTAGGGTACTCCCACAGAATAGTAGGTTCACCTCTGGAGTTGAGGGTCACAGGAAAGGAGATGGGATAAAGGCCTGCTTTGTAGGAGCTCCTGTACAACAAGAGAGAGACAGCCGGGTGGCTACAGCATATCTGGGAAGCTCTGTGATGAGGAAATACACACACACAAGGTGGCATGGCATAGTGGAGGGTCCATACCCAGGCTGGAGTCTCAAAAAAAGAATTCTGCTGCCAAGGGCGGTGAGTGAAGAAATGCAGACTAATGGCAATTATCTAGGTGCAGGGAGGCCAGGAGAGCCTTCAGGCAGCCCAGAGGTGAGACTGCACATGAATTAGTTTTGGTAGAATATGAAAAACAGAAGGAGAAAGAGAGTTTGGGGGGATGGAGAAGCTGATGGGATCAAGCTTTGAGGGCTTTGTGAGAAGTTTAATGAGAAACTGATAGAGGACTGATCGCTGATACAAGTGACTATGTAAGGACCTATAGGTGTCCAGTAGATTTAACAACACAAAGATGGCACTAGCTTTGCCAAGTGGAACCAGGGGATTGCAGAGGACTAAAAAGTGAACAGGGATGTTCAACTTCCAACAACGGGGACTAGGTGAGTCAGACTCATCTTCCTGTTGAAGACAAGTACAAATGCAGGTTGAAATATAAAAAGTAAAAGTAAAGAGTGCTCACTATATACAGTCACCTGATTTATCACAGGTAAGATAATGCAGTGCAGAAGGGGAAATGGGCTTTTCAATAAATGGTACTCAGTCAATTGAATCACAATATGAAAAAAAATAATGTTGACCTCTACCTCGCACCATATATATATAACTAATTATAAACCTAGATGGGAAAGGTAAAACAAACAAACAAAAAATGCTAGAAGAAAACATAGGAGACATCTTTGGGGTAGGCAAAGATTTCTTAGACAGGCCAAAGGAAAATATAATAATGTGGACTGTATTTAAATTAAGAATGTCTATTTATAAAAGGCAGCACTATGAAACTGAAAACACAACCCACACAGGAGGAAATAATATATCTCTAAAAATACATGAAAGCTATAAGAAGAACTCTATCTTGTTTTAAAAAATAATCCAATAGAAAAGCTGGCTAAAAATGGAAAACCACATCACAAAAGAAAATATAAAAATGGCCAATAAATATATGAAAAGGTGCTCAATATCATTAGTCATCAAGAAAATGCTGTCAGAATCAGTGCCTTAAAAAAGGGGAGGACTACCACTGAAAAAGAGCATGATGGGAGTTTCTGAGGAACTGGTGGTTTGTGAAATTTTGTCAGGTTTTAGATTATGACATATACATTTTTATATACTACACTTCCATAAAATGATTTTTAAGTGTCAAATAACTAACCATAGAGTGAGGAATTAGCACTCCCAGGTCCAAAAGACAGGACTCTGAGCCTAGTACCTGGGGTAGCTTCTGTCCAGGGGTTATTTGCTAATGTGGAAGAAAGTGCATATACTAAGACTGAGCTGCACTTTCAGAGGCCTCACAGAGCTAAGGGACCCACCAAGGGTGGTCTTTCTAGGAAATCACTGTCCAGTTTAGGTCACTAGGGAGTAAAGGTAAACCAAAAGCAGACCAGCTGTTGTGCACATGGGCAGGCTTAAAAAAAATCTCAAGACCTGAGAATGAATTAAGGTGATTCCAAATGCTGGTATCCTCACGCACCTGGAAAAAGCACACAAATCTTCTTTGGAGGGTGATAACCTTCAGCTGAAAATTGTTTCTGCAAATAATTTTTCAAACACAATGTCCAACACATAAGTAAAAATAATCTATCACATGAACTGATGACACAATAAATAAGTGGTAATCAGAAAAAAAAAAAAAAAAAAAAACAGAAACAGAAACAGGACTTTAAATACTAGAATATGCTCACTTACATTCATAAAGCTAAATTGCAAGGTTGAACATTTCAGCAGGGAACTGGAAACTATAAAAATAATATAATAGATTTTCTAAAGAGTCACATAGAAATTGTAGAACTGAAGAGTGAATGAGGACTTCCAGTTAAAGACAATAAAGCAAACACAGGCAGTTCCCTTTGCACCCTCTTAAACACCCACTAAAATGACAATGAATGAATTTTAACATAAATAAAGACTATTGAGAACATATAAAAAAAAAAGAAATAACAATAGCAACAAAATTTTAAGAGTTAAAAAGCAGATAGACAATACTTGATGTCTTAGTAGACACAAGAAAGTTAAATCTTAAGCCAGTAGAGGAAAAATCTGAGAAACAACCCAGGAATTACTAGTATCAAGTATCTTGAGAAGCAGAGATAAATATGGTGCTGAAAACAGGAAGACTGGTTGAAAGTCTATGTTAAATGCACTTTTTAACCCCCAGCTCTTCTGTCCAACTCCCTGCACTCTGGCAAACCCTTTCTTTACCAAAAGTCTGGTATTCTCTAAAAAGGGTAAAACAGAGGGTATCCACACTGAGGAGCCCTAAGCACAGCTAAGGGTGAGGCCACCCACATAAAAATAGTCTATCTATGTATGCATTTCTCTTCCTAATCTAATGTTGCAGTGAAGCTTGATCACCCCCAGGCAGAAGAATGGAAGTTTCTAGACATCCCACAAACCCAAAAGAGACATTCTCCAATGAAACAATGCATTCAGGTCACTCTGGGGCAAGGGCTCAAGTTGGTCAATCCCTTCCAGGCATAGGAGCTTCCAACAAGATTTTTATTACCCTGCTTTTAAATATGAGCAGACATCCAATGACCATCAGACACCCAGGAAGCCTCCAGCAATCACAAAGGTAAAGACCAAAACAAAGAAAGCCAATCTTAAGGAAAAGAGATGTTGTAAAGAGAGGTGAAAACTTCAAAAACTATTGCTGTCCCCAGAGAGATAATAGAACACACTGTACCCATGAAATTAGAATGGGGTGTTAATTTAAGAGAACATTAGGAAAGGAAAAGAAGAGCTCTTAGAAATTAAAAACAGGACAGCAGAAACAAAACTTTCAGTAGAAAGGTTGGAAGATATCTCTTTGTCTTTTTTCCTCCACAAAGCAGAGGAAAAAAGACAAAGAGATAGAAAATAGGAAAGAATAGAAAATATGGGGAAAGTTGGCACAGAAACAAGGCAGAAAGTTTCCAGGACTGGAGATCACACACTTCAGACCACACAAGCCCAGGAAGTGTCTGGCACAAGAAATGGAGACCCACACCAAGCCATTAGTACAGACATGGCCTCCAAGCTGCCCAGGAGAAGGTCGAGTTAACGCAAAGTATCAGGAGTCAGAATGGCATCAGAGTTTCCAAGACAAATAAATGCTGGAATAAAATGGAGCAATGCTTTCAGAATTCTGTGGAGAAAAATTTTTTAGCCAAGAAGTTTATGCCAGCAAAACCATTTTTTCAACTTTTCAAGTAGAAAAGATTTGTTTGAAGACATGCACATTTCATAAATTTATCAGAAGACCTCTCAAAAAGATGCCTCCAAGATGAAATCAATAGGACACCTGGTGTGTTTGAATGTCTTGAAGAAGATACTTAGACAATTAAGGGAAAGCTTGAGACTGAATCCATGATACATACATTTTAAAAGCAACAACAAAACACCTTGTAGAAGCCATGGCCAGTGTGGCTAAGTTGGTTGAGCATTGTCCTGTGCACCAAAAGGTTGTTGGTTTGATCCCCATTCATGCTTGGGTTGTGGGCTTGACCTTCCGCAGGGAACCAGCCCATAGATGTTCCAGTCTCACATCAATCTTTCTGTCTCTTTCTCCCTTCCTCTCTCTAAAAATCAATAAAAATATTTTTTAAAAAAATCTTGTGGGAAGCCCAGCTGGTTGGGCATCAACCCATGCACCAAGAGGTCACTGGTTCAATTCCCAGTCAGGGCACATGCCCAGGTTGTGGGCCAGGTCCCCAGTGAGAGGCATGCAGAAGGCTGCCAGTTCTCTCTCATCGATGTTTCCATCTCTCTCTCCCTCTCCCTTCCTCTCTCTCTAAAATCAATAAAGAAAAAATAATCTTGTGGGAAAGGAAAAGTAATCATAACATATCACACAGCTCAACTAAATATGACATTTAACAATCCCAGTACCATCAGCACTAAATATCAGTCTAACTGGAAGTATGCTCTAGTTCTTAGGGCAGGAAGAAGTTGAAAATATGCATCAGAGTGGTGGGGGACAGGGATGAGAGGTCCAGAGACAATGCCAAACACAAGGTTGTGAAAGGCACATGGCACTACTTTGGATGGTCAAAAAAGTACTGTGTGAGAATAGGTGCAGAACTTGTGTGTGTGTGTGTGTGTGTGTGTGTGTGTGTGTGTGTGTGTGTGTGTGTTTAATTGACTTGAGAGAGAGAGAGATGTTTGTTGTTCCATTTATTTGTGCATTCATTGGTCAATTCTTTTCCCTGATCTGGCATTAAATCCATGGCACATTCTAACCAACTAAGAGACCCAGCTATATATTATAGTCAAACTAAAACAAGAGACTGAGGAAGCAGAGGTGGGAAGCAGCTACTCCTGTTTGGAAAAGCTTGGCCACAAAAGAGAAGAGGATGGAGATTAGATAGAAATGGACTGGTGTGGGGGGCAACTCACAGATGCCCTGGGAAAGGGCCAGTATGAGAGGGAAGAGTTGAAACAGCAGGGAGGTGGGAATGAAGTTGGGGCAGGATCTGGATGCAAAACCTACCTGAAGCCTTAGCTCAGCATCATCTAATAGTGCAATGGGAGCCATGTATGTGCAATAAATTTTCTAGTAGCCACATTTTAAAAGAAAACAGTTGACAGTCATTTTAATACTAAATTTTATCTAAGCTACTATACCCAACATGTTGTCATTTCAATAATGCAATCAATATTAAAATCATGCATGAGGTATTTTGCATACTCTTCTTGTACAAAGTCTGGGGACTTAACAGCAACTCAGTATGTGGTCTACACTCACAGCACTTCTCAGTTTGGACCAGTCACATCTCAGGGGCTCATGGGTGGTGGTGCCCATCATAGAGGACAAAGCAACCCTAGGTCTGATTAAGTCACTCACCCCCACCTCTTCCCCCAAAGAGAGAAGGGAAGAGAACCTGGGGTTCCCTGCTTCCCACAGGGAGAAACACACACTACTCCACTAGGTCCTGCTGTTTGTCTACCCTCAGGTCCCTAAGGCCCCAACAGATTTGTCCCTTGCACTGTCTCACTCCTCCTCTTCCCAATCCCCCACAACCCAAGAACCTGGATTCCTGGGCCCTGAAGGTACCCAATGAAAGCCACCCCCATTACCCACACTCAGGTAGCCCCCAACCTTGCCATAGGCTCACATACACCTCTGGACTCCAGTCTTGGGTTCTCCCAGTCAGAATTAACGCCTTCCTTCTTCATGCCTGCACTACATCATTATATTACAGCCCGGCCTTCCTTCACTCTGTCATGGATGCTTAAGAATTGGACCCAGCCTAGGTGAGAGCAAGGAGGCTCCCAGGCCCTGCCCCTACCCCTCCGGGGAACTCGGGTAGGCCACTGTAGGCCCACGGAGAGGGCACCTGCTCCTCCGGGGAGCCCCAGATTCTTTATGGAGCAGGCAGGTGGGCTGGGTTTGCCTGGTGAGCCTGGGGGACGAGGGCTGCTGGCAAGGAGCATGGTCCTGGGAGATTGTCCTGAGCAAATGCACCCAGGCATGATCACCGGCCCTGACGTCCCCGCCGCAATCCTGCAGGCCATCGCCAGTCATATGCACCTCAAGTGCAAGTGCCACGGGCTGTCGGGTAGCTGCGAAGTAAAGACCTGCTGGTGGTCGCAGCCCGACTTCCGCGTCATCGGCGACTTCCTTAAGGACAAGTACGACAGCGCCTCCGAGATGGTGGTGGAGAAGCACCGGGAGTCGCGCGGCTGGGTGGAGACGCTGCGGCCTCGCTACACCTACTTCAAGGTGCCCACGGAGCGCGACCTGGTGTACTACGAGGCTTCGCCCAACTTCTGCGAGCCCAACCCCGAGACCGGCTCTTTTGGCACTCATGACCGCACCTGCAACGTGAGCTCGCCTGGCATCGATGGCTGCGACCTGCTGTGCTGTGGCCGCGGCCACAACGCGCGGGCAGAGCAGCGCCGAGAGAAGTGCCTCTGCATCTTCCACTGGTGCTGTTACGTGAGCTGCCAGGAGTGTGCACGCGTCTACGACGTGCACACCTGCAAGTAGCAGAGCGCTTTGGCTAGGGACGGAGGTCCTCCCGCATCGGGCTGGGTCTTCTGATGGAGCAAGTATACGGCTCTGGAGTAGGGTGTGGTTCCTCTCCACAGGTCCAAAGCTCCTTCCGAGATGGGGCGAAGCTCGGGGATGAAGATTTGGGGTGGGGCGCAGTCTTCTCTAGGGATGGGGCTCCCATGCTGGGGATTCAGCCCCACCACGTATTCCAGCGCAGCCCACCAGTAAGGTTCCATCCACCCCATCTCCTCTGTGTAGGGCAGCTCTGCTGGCACAATAGCGGCCAAGACCCTTTTCCCCCAACCTCTTCCTCTGAAGCCTGGGGACCAGGAGCCCTCCAAGTCTGGGGCTCTGGAAAGGTTCCAGCGCCCAGAGACCTGACATCGGCCACCGCTCCCAACCAAGAACACAATGGAGAGAGCCCACGCCTGGCAGATTCCCCCAAGAACCAGCTGGGCCTGGAGAAAAGAAGGGCCTAGTGGCAAAGGCGAGCAGGATGCTGGGCCCTGAAACCTGGCTCTGCTCTAGCTGTCCTGTGTGGGGCTTCAGACACCCAGGCACTCTTCCCAGTTACTATTACTGCTGTCGCCCAGGCCCTGGATGGAGCATTCCATTGTAAGCCCTTCCACCTCCCTTCCTCAGGTCTCTCACCTGCACCCCATCCCATCCACAGGAAAGAAGCATAGCCTCCTGTCCTAGCCCTGACCTGCCTCCCTCTTGGCCCCAGAACTTCCCCTACCTTCCTCATCTACAGTCCAGACACCATGTCTTCCCAGGGCTACAGGCTTATACCATCCCAGCTCCATCATCCTGCCTTGAAGGCTCATTTGGGGTGGGAGTAAGTTGTTTGGGAGGTTTTGATAGGACGAGCCACACCTATGCTGAAGAGGACCTATAGCACCCAGAGGGATGGTTTCCCCTCCCAGCCCTGGTGGTTAGGACTGATCCCTGGGTCTCCTGTTGCAACTATGAGGTGCCAGACTTGCCACACTGGCCACTGTCTTGGAGCATCTGGCTGGCTGCTCAGCCCCCTTCATCTTCTGACTAATCTACCCAGCTCAGGAGGGACTGGTCTCTGGACTCCTCAGCCAATGCCCAGGCCTCTCCTCACTCAGGCCTCTCCTCACTCAGACTCTGCCACTGTGAAATGTCCCCCAGTCCCCAGGCAGGGGGAGGAGACCAGCCAGACAAGGATGACTTGCTCGCGTCCCAGGACAAGACCTTCTTCTGCCTTGAATTTTATGGTTTTGGTTTTAATTTTATTTCAGTTGCTGCTATATTCACCATACACTGGAGCTAATAAGACAGCTGTGTTGTTATTTTTTCCCTTTTCTTTCTGTGAAAGAAATTTTAGTCATAGCTTGTGAGTTTCAAACAATGGGGAAGTAAAAGACAAAGAAACAAAAAGCAGAAACAATCAAACTCAGTGAATTGTGCTGGATTTCTGGTGGTGGGTTGGCAAGGCATGATGGTTGGATTGGTGGTGACCTCTGGGATGGGAGACACCCAGGTAAAGAAGTGGTCAGCATGCACCTCAGAGACTCCTGGGGTCTTGGAGGACAGCATCCCAGAAGAATAAAAAGGGGTCACCATGCCAAGGAAAGGAGGACATGGCCAGTGGTGCTGAGATCTGGGGCAGGGGAACTAGACCCAGGCAGAAGGCTCCAATGAGGTATAGGGAGGAGGAAGAAGCCTGCCTGCTGCAGGGGTGGTGCAATGCAGTCAGCAGGATGAAGGCCCTACAAAAATCAGTGGAGCAGTGGAACATCCACCAGGTCAGCCAAAAGACACTTCCTTTTTTTGGCTATGTAGTTTTGCCTTCTGGGTTTGGGGACATAGCCCCTGTATGGGTTCCCCTATGTGGCTCACCACAGAGCACTCCAGGAGCCCAGCCTCTCTGGGAGGCAAGAGTCAGTGTCTCAACCAGAGATTCACCCAGCTGAGGCCTGGAAGTTGACCATGTCCACCCTCACAGGGCAGTGCTGGGTGGGGCCTCTGGAAACAGAGGCTCCAGGAAGGGGGTTAGGGGGCTTTCCCAAGGCCATACCTTTGCTTTTTCAAGTTGAGTGCAGGGTCCCTGGACCTCTTTCTACCCTTCCAAGCCCCCCCCCCAACCCTGCCACTACCACATCTTGAGCAATACTCAAAGTGAGGGAGAACCCTGAGAAGGGTGGGGTGGAGAGGCTGGGACAGGTGGAGGATGAGGAACATAAAAGGAAAGCTGAGGCCCTTAGTAGGCCATTTGCTGGAAGGAAGGAAGATGGAGGGCAAGAGGAGGCCTCATAAGGAACCCCCTGCCAGCTGATGGTGGAGAGAAGGAACCCAATGCAGCCATTTGTGAGGTTAGGAGGGAGAAGGGGTCTGTGTAGCTTTGGGGAGCAGGGTCTTCACATGCTACTCACCACCACTCCAGCTTTTTCCAGGGGAAGTCCAATGGAGACCCCAGATTTTGGGGTAGGCTAGCCGCTGCTCTGAGGACATGCACCCCTACTGACTTCACTCAGCCCTTCAGCTTTGCCACCGGCTGCCTCTGCTCCCCACCATTGCTCTTGGGCACAGACTTCAACCTGGCCCCTACCTAGGAGCCCACACACACATCTGACCAGGGCCCACTGGGGCACAACACTCCTGCTACTGAAATATCAGGGCCACTGAGGGCCTCAGAAGTAAGGACCACCCTCTGCTGACAAAAAAGCAACTGCTGGCTTGGCAGAGGCTCCTGGATGAAGTGTGTAGACACAGGGCAGGGGGGTCTTGAGCAGGGGGGTCCTGGACAGAGGTGTGCAGAGGCAGGGCTGTGGGTCCTGACAGAGGTGTGGTGACACAGGGCGCCAGCATGGATATCTACTCCCAATCAAGCCCTGAGCTGGAAGAAAGCTGTGGGAGGATGTGGGGAGATGTCTATTGGATGGGGTGGGCACCCATCAGAGTGAGAGAAGCAAGAGGAAGCTGGTGGTGGGAGGTCATGGCCTTGATGGTTAAGACAGAACCTGGGGAGTGCCCTCCTCTGACCTGCCTCCCCATTTCTTATGGCCACAGAGTTCTTGCTGGAGGCTCTAAGTCACTGAAGACAGAGCTAGATGGGGCCCAGTAGGGCAAAAAGACAGGGGTAGATCCAGGTCTTTGGACTCCCAACATCCCTCCTTGGCTTTTATGGGCTGGCATCCCCCATGTCCTGCCCCCAAGTGGCTCAGGGCGGCTGATCCCCCAATAGACCTACCCCAGTCTGGGTCAACCTCTGTTCTGGGGCACAGCTGACAACTAGAGATTTCCAACTGGGGCTCCAAGAGGTCAGCCAGGGCCAAATGGGCTGCAAACAGATGCTCTATAAAAAAAGAACCAGTGATTAAGTGCCCAGGGCAGGAGCAATCTCCCCCACAGGGGTGAGTCACTGACCAGGGGAACCCCAGCTCTCTCAGCCCACCAGGCCATCCTAGGCAACAGAGCTGATTAGAAACTCTGCATAGGGGTCAGGCCTTGTAGGTAGGGGTGACAGATGCTCCTGAGAGCCAACCGTGAGTGTATCCACAGTGCACACAGCACAGATGTGCAGCACCTGAGTCAGGGGCTGGGCAGGAGCCACACTAATTGGCACCTGCTACTAAGTAGGAGCCAGGGGCTCCACAGATGAAAGGGCCAGAGAGACAGTCTGAGCATGGGTGGGGCTGGCCTATGAAAAGAGACATGATGGGACCACTCTAGGGTCAATGCAGAGATGGGTTCTGCGTATCTGGTCCCCACACCTCTGAGTCACAAGACTACAAACCCCCAACATCCAAGCTCTGTCTGGCCAGTGCCCAGAGAGGGGGTGGCACTGGCCTAAGAACACAGAGTGTTAGGGACCCACTCTGGCCTCTGGGTGCTAGGTCTTGAGGCCCTGCTTCAGTCCAGGTAACAGGACCATGTGGAGATGGTCTCAGCTCTCCAGGAGATGAGGCACCAGGACAGTGCTGACCTAAGGGGTATGCCCACCATCCCTGCCAGCATTGTTCCAGGCTGGAAAGAGGCAGAACTCCATTAGAAAAGGTCTAGGATGGGGCACCCAGGCCCTTGGATCCACAAGACAGGCCTCAAGGGGTCTGGGAAGTGCCTGTGTGAGTGAGGAGGGGAAACCCTCAACTCTGTTGGCATGGAGAAAGGCCCACCCTTCTCCCGGCCTCAGTTTCCCTCCAGTGCAAGAGGAAGTGGGGTGAGGGGGTATTCTATCTGGAGCCACTGTTGGAGCCTAGCTGGCTACCCTCTCACCTGCCAAGATCTATCAGCATGTCCCCATGAACTCCTGGCCCAGCCCCCAGTCTGCTCCTTAACCCCCTACTCAAAGGAGAGCAGAGCTGAGCAGCCTGTAGCCTCTGAAGACACCTCTCCTGGGAGTTTATAGCCCATCCTGCCCACCCTGGGAGGGAGGAAATGGGCCTGGTGGGCCTGTTCACAGGTAGTTGAGACAGGAGAGGAATAACCATATTAAAGGTACCGGAGGTAGTAGGCCCCCACCCTGCACTAAGGCACCCCTGGCCCCGCCCCTGCAAATCTCACACTCACCAAACAAGGGCTTTGAAGTCCTACAGGGGTGTGGGCCCTTTCCTATGGCCTCCATTGTCTTGGTCCTGGAGCCTCAGTTTCCTCTCTTCCGGGACACTATGAGCAAGCCTCTACCTCCTACTCAAGGCTGGGACCTGAGGGCAGCAAGACTCACCCCCCCAAGTCTTTGCCCCAAATGTTGAAGGCCCCTGCCCCCCAAAGCAAAGCATGGATGGGTGGGTAGTCATCAAGTCCCTGATGGACTGAAATTTGCCCCTGCCCTGGGGTCTGGTGTGGGGGACACAACCCATCCTGGTGTCTGACCTGTGGCCTGTGGTAGCCATACTCCCTCAGCTCTCCCTTACAGTGGACTCCCCAACCCAGGACCCACAGCCCTCCTGTCTGCCATCCATTTCCTTGTTGGAATCTCTTCTCCTTTCAAAAAACCCTCTGCTTGGGATGCCCAAAGACAGGGC